CTTTAGAACATTGACATCTTATTATGCTGTGTTTATAATGTTAATATAACTGATCTCATCAGAAAAATCTTTTAAGTATTAGAAAGCTGTCAAGCTCACAGTGATGGATACAGATTTTTCAAAATTCTAACTTTCATTTGAAAGGGGAAATTTTATCATTGGCAACAAATATTGTCAGTTGTTTTCCTTAAGTGACAGGGCTTTCTTCATTCATTTCAGAGAAAATGTCTGCTGAACAACCATAGTCTGTGAGTCATTCTTTTAAGTAAAAACAGTTTTCATGAAAAGTGGCTACTAGTTCAGCACACATCTCAAATAATCACAGACAGCCATCACACTTCAGCATGCTATATAGCCAGTACTTCTCATTTCATCATATAGGATATTAAAAAGATGTGTACTCAAGGGTAGAGGTGTAATGAAATTTTTACTGCTAAAGAACATTGTTAACTGGAATTGACTAGTTTGATGCTACTTTTTTGGTTCATGCTGGGGTGCCTATAGTTTTGCCCACCATTTCTTTTGCACAGTCAGTGCAAATATCAGTACTTTGAAAAAGAATAAGTATTAGTATTATTAAAATAGTTTTGATTTCTTGGACCTCCTTGAAAGGTTCTCTGGGACCCCCAGACCTTCAGAGTTGCTGCCTCATCCTTTTGGACAACTTGACAATGTCATTTATTCCAAATATTAGTGTCATAGTAAGTGAATCTTAAGACATACAGATCTGACATAAAATTTACTTGGGGGAGAGAGGTGGTGTTTATATGTTTACTGTTACACTGATACTTAGCAAGATAAACAAGGTGGAGGCTTTAATATTATGTTGTTTTTTTTTCTCCCAGAAAATTCCTATGATGGGTTTCAACTTGGAAAATTTATGACTTAAGATTGTTTAACAGTAGAGTTTGGTTTTTGTATGGCTTATATTTGAATTATTTAAATCTTTTAAAAGGTCTTCAGTTATTGTAGATTTATGTTATTTCTTTGAGAAGGTCTCACTTCAATATTGAATTTTTAAATTCATATTTTAAATAAAATCATTTCACCATGACTGAGATGTCATTTCAGGTGGGCCAGATAAAGACAGGACTTTTCTTTTTTAATGGTGATTAAGTGGGTCAGGGTTTTATGCTGAATTTTTTTTGTTGTTAGATTTAAAAATTTTCTGAACATTCAACAAGGTTGGGGAAAGTTAACCATGGAAGTGTTTTTTTTTAAAAGCACTCTTGGGAATTTCCTGGGGGTCCAGTGGTTAAGACTCTGCACTTCCACTTCAGGGGGCATGGGTTTGATCCCTGGTTAGGGCGGACAAAAAAGAAAAAGCACTCAATTTCTGTTACACATTTCTTGCCCAGTTATGAGGCATGGTAATTATAATATTTACTTAAGATACTTATTACTTGACTTTTTGGTTTTAAGTGTGTTTGGATAGTGAAGAATGACTGCAACTCTCTTTTCTCCCTAAGCCAGGTTTATTCTCAGATGTGTAGGATTCAGTCGGGTCTTGTCTTTTCATGGTCTGTCAAGCAATTTATGTTGCTTGAGTTAAACTGAGTTTTTATTCAACTTCAGTCATTGAAGTTAACCTGAAGATGTCCACTGTATTTCTTTTGCTAGCCAAATCTTATCCTTCTCCAGAATTTAGATTGCATTTTTAAATGACATCTCGTATTTATATTTCTTCTTCCAAATTGCCTTTATTTGTATTTTGAAATTAGTCTGGTTTGATAAGGGAAAGCATTTGATAAAGATTTTAGGACACATTCTGTTTTGGGTAGCTAAATAGTATTATTGAAAAAATACCATGTGATTTTCACATATTAAAACAATGCACAGGGCTTCCCTGGTAGCGCAGTGGTGGAGAGTCCGCCTGCCGATGCAGGGGACACGGGTTCGTGCCCTGGTCCGGGAGGGTCCCATATGTGGGCCCGTGAGCCATGGCCGCTGAGACTGGGCATCGGAGGCTGTGCTCTGCAACGGGAGAGGCCACAGCAGTGAGGGGCCCGCGTACCGCAAAAGAAAACAAACAAAAAAACAATGCACAATGTGCGTAAAATCTGTAAGATAGTCAAAAGCTAGTATAATCATTAAGACTAGAATTTAAGTTATTTCAAAGCAATCCTGAGAGTTACTTGCTTTTGCAAATAAACTATTAGGTTCACATTATAACAATTTGCATTGTCTTTTTGTTTTTGTTTTTTATGGCCACACCATGTGGTTTACAAGATCTCAGTTCCCTGACCAGGAATTGAACCTGGGCCCACAGCAGTGAAAGCACCAAGTCCTAACCACTGGACTGCCAGGGAATTCCTATGCATTGTCATTTTTTTATGCTCAATTGCTGTGTAAGATTTTTTTTTTTCTATTCAACTTTGGGGATTATTCTGTAAACCTTAATGAAAAGCGTTTATTTTTGCCCATTGTTCTGGTGACTTATGGATGTTACATTGTAATTGGAAGTAAAACAGTGTAGCTACTAATACAGAGTAAGTTGCTTTTCAGGCCGCATCACTACTGATTCTCGCTTCTTGCTGGCTTTCCTGGCAATGGTATCTTCTCTCCCTTATTTTCTTTTTTAAAATTAATTAATTAATTATTGGCTGTGTCGGGTCTTCGTTGCTACGCACGGGCTTTCTCTAGTTGCAGCAAGCGGGAGCTACTCTTCGTTTTGGTGCGCAGGCTTCTCATTGCAGTGGCTTCTCTTGTTGTGGAGCACGGGCTCTAGGCACGCAGGCTCAGTAGTTGTGGCTTGTAGGCTCTAGAGTGCAGGCTCAGTAGTTGTGGCACACGGGCTTAGTTGCTCCACGGCATGCGGGATCTTCCCAGACCATGGATCGAACCCATGTCCCCTGCATTGGCAGGTGGATTCTTAACCACTGCACCACCAGGGAAGTCCCACATATTTACATTTTAAACTGTAGACTGGTATCACATGCATCACTCTGACCTCCTTCCTTCGTCCAATAAGGTTGGACCAGTAAAAGTGCCCTGGCATGCTCTGTTGGAGCTTAAGGCAAAAGGAAAATTAAGTAATAATTGTCACTTTAAATTTTTTGATATTTCGTGCATCATGGTTTTTGCATTCATTTTGATTCTTGTAACTGTTGGCATTAAAATATTTATCTTGATTACCGAATTTAGGCACCTCTTATATTTTGTCTTCAAGGCAAGTGCCTCACTTGTATCACCTTAGCCCCAACTGATAAACATGTTAATTCTTGGGCCTTTGAAGTGACTGTCTCTAGACAGTTTCCTGTTTAAAGGCAGACATTACCACAGAGGAATAACTCTCCCTACTAGTCCTCTTTAGCATAGATCAATTTTTTTTTTTTGCGGCACTTAGAGAAATGAGGGAAAGGCTGGTATAAGAATAGAATCCTGTGCTCTAGAAGTGGCTAGTTGCTACTGACTTTGCTTCCTTAGGCGGTGAGCCATCTTCTTATAGTTTGAAAACGTAATGCTGAGGGAAATAGCAAGTTCCAAAAGGATGTCATTTATGGAAAAGCTTAAATCTCCAAAATATATTTCTAAGTGAACTTTTTTTTTTAATATTTTAGTATCTTTGAAATTGAGAAGTGTCTTAAGTCAATGGCATCTTACAATTGCCATTGGCTAGGGAGCTCTCATGGCATAGTTGCACCAACTTGTCATAACTTCATATTTTAATTTCATAATTAGGTTTTGTCAAAGTCTTAAGTCTTAAAAACCTCTGTTACAATAAGTATAAAATAATCCTAAGTGTTATTAAAGCATTGTTTCATGGTTTAATTGGCAACATTTTTTCTTAGTTTTACATAAAGGAATGGTGTGTAAAATAATGAAATCGTAAAGTTGATGAAGTATGGTACATAATTTATAGACACATAATATGTATAAAACATGCATGGGAAAAATACACATTAACTTAGGACAGTAGTTACTTCAGAAGCATTGGGAAGTGTGAGAGTTTTATTTTCTCCTCCCTCAAAAATAAAGTTATAAAAATGTTAACATCTGTTAAATCTGAGTAGTAAGTAAGGGTGTCTTACATTCTTTTATGTAATTTTCTGTATGTTTGAATTTTTAATAAAATTTTGAATTAAAAAGTAAAATACAGAAACTAAATGAATTCAGTTGTTCTGGGTTGCCTTCCAGGAAGCAGGCACCAATTTATAATCCCAACAGTATACAACAATGATGCTCATGTTTTATGCTTTCTTGCCAGTATTGCACATTGCCAATCTTGTGGGTAAAATATTGTTATTTGTGATTTTCTTGATTTAATTCTCAATTATTTGATTACTAGTGAGACTGAATTTTTTTCTCATTTTTTTGGTAATTGTATGTCTTTTATCAAAGCTTGTTCACATAAGTTGCTTATTTTCTATTAACACATTGATCATTTTTTATTGATTTGTGAGAGCTCTTTATGTATTTAGGAAATTAGCCATTATTGTTACATATGTCACAAATTATTTTCCTGAGTTCACCAGTTGCCTTTCAGTACTGTTTGTTTGTTTGTGTGTTTGTTTGTTTAAATAAGGATGTCAAGGCATGGATGGGACCAAACAAAACACATCTAACTGATACTGAAACCTCCTAATTCCTGAAAAGCTACAAGCTCAATGACAGGATTTTTCCCCAGAAAATCTTATATCATGCTACTCTGTGTCTGTGCTTTTTCTTACACAATAACTTTTTGTTCCTATGCTAGCTTTTCCTGTAGGCAGAATAAAGGCTTTCTAATCACTATGATTGGAGAGTCACTAGAGAGAGCTAAGATGCTGTCATCTGAAGAGTACTGGATAGTTCTCCTTGGTCAAAAATAATTATCTTTTATTCTCCATATGCTGTTTTAAGAATAGAGTGGGGTGTATTTTTTGTTTTACTTTTTTAAAAAAATTGAAGGAAAATTTACATGAAGTAAACTGCAAAGATGTTCAATTTGATGAGTTTTGAGAAGTGTCTCTTGATTTTTACATTGAATAGTGTTAGAATTGTATCATTTTCTTTAACAGTTTGAACCTTCAGTTGTATACTTAGACAGCCTTTTCACCTTCTGAGTAAGTATTTACATATATTTTCTTTTACGATTTTGACCTTTTTATTGTAAATATATAATACAAATAGAACTTACTTGGAGTATTACTATAGTGCAAAAACCTAATGTAATATTTTCCATTATTCCCTCAGTAGCTAATACATAAACCAGTCTTTTTTGTTTGTTTTCCGATTGTCTCTTTTTTTTTTTTTAGTTTTTACAGTTTTTTTATTGAGGTATGATTGACATATAACATTATATTAGTTTCAGGTGTACAACATAATGATTCAATATTTGTATATATTGCAAAATGATCACCAAAATAACTCTAGTTAACATCTGTCTGCATATATAATTACAATTTTTTCTAACGATAAGGACTTTTAAAATTTACTCTTTGCAACTTTCAAATAGACAATACAGTATTATTAACTATAATCACCCTCCTGTACATTACATCCTCATGACTTCTTTTTTTTTTTTTTAACATCTTTATTGGAGTATAATTCCTTTACAATGGTGTGTTAGTTTCTGCTGTATAACAAAGTGAATCAGCTATACATATACATATATCCCCATATCTCCTCCCTCTTGCGTCTCCCTCCCACCCTCCCTGTCCCACCCCTTTAGGTGGACACACAGAACCAAGCTGATCTCCCTGTGCTATGCGGCTGCTTCCCACTAGCTAGCTATTTTACATTTGGTAGTGTATATATGTCCATGCCACTGTCATACAGAGTGAAGTAAGTCAGAAAGAGAGAAACAAATACCGTATGCTGACAGATATATATGGAATCTAAAAAAATGTTTAAAAGGTTCTTAGAATATATTTTTAATTCATACCTTCTTAGTAGACAGCTGACTTAATCACTTACAAAAACCATTTCAATTTCTATCATTTCCACCAGATGGCAGTCTTGGGCACATCCACTTGTAAACCTGTTGAGAACTTTGGTGACAAGAAAGGCAGTGGCTGGCAGACCTTACAAGGCCTTAAAATTACATGAACGAAAAGGTTTTTTGTAAACATGAAAGACAAACGAACCCAACATTATGTAATTATAGTATTTATACTGCTGTTAACCTTTAATCTTACAGCCCATTCATTAATGGAGGCAGAGAAGAACATCGCTGCACCCTTCAAAATCATATTTTGCTCTGTGCACGTGTTAATTACCTGTGGCTTCTTGGCAGTACTTTTGCTTTTATTCCAGGGACTTTCATGGTTAAGGGCAGGCTTTAATAAAAGTCATTATTGTTTCCCTTCTAAAAGCACCATTTAAATCAGAAGTTACTGGATTTCTAAATGTTTATGTAAGAGCATCTTGTGACTGATTTTATGGCGCCCAGATCTCATCTGAAATATGAGTTACAGTGTTTATAGTTAATGTAAAGGGAAATAGGTTTGTAAGTGGCTTATTCTACATGAATACAAATCTTAATAACCCCCCTAAATTAGACACTTTTTAGCTTAACTTTGATGACTTCAAAGACCTGCCTTTAGGAATATAGAAGGTAGTGAATTTCTTGATCAGGCAAGGAATTGGCTCAAGTATTTTCTCATAGATGCTTTTTCCAGTGGCCAAAAGAGAGTCCTTTTGGACAACAATACATCATCTAGGTAAGCTCCCCTTTTGTACCTTTTATTACAATTCCATTTGCTAATTTACTTATTTTATATTTCTTATTGTGTTATGAATGAACTGTTTTTCTTCCAATATATTTTTAATTCATACCTTGGTATAATCAGGGAGTAGTAATTGACTGACTGAACAGTAACTATGTACATTCCCTTTCTGAGAGATTTTATTTCCACTCTGAGATTGAAAGGTACGAAAAAGTATAAAAACAAAAAGAACAGGTTCGGTCCTTATGCAGAATGGTATGCCAAGGTTAATTCTTGCTTTTCCAAAGAAAATTGATGTAAATATTCTAGGAGGTAATATAGAAAAAATGTTGACAGACAGTAAATAATTTCTTTTAGGGTAAATCATGAAAAAGTTTCCTTTTTAAATCCCTGATGATTCTAGGATATAGTTATGTGGAACAGCAAATTTCTTTCATGTATTACATGGATTTATTCATGTTTTGTGTGATCTCTGAGAATGAATGTTGAAATGGTCTTAAGGGAATCTCAGCTATGCAGTAATTATGCCTAGAGCTTTTGTGTAGTGTACCAAGACATACCTTTAACGAAGACAAGTTGAAATCAGTTAGAATTAGGTTCATGCCACATATTTTCAAATAGTTATGGGTAATCTAAATTATATAGATAAAGCCATAAGTTAAATACAGCTGGAAGATTGGCTATGTAAAATTATCTTTGAAAAGGAAGCAGTTCCCTTCTAAGAACCCATGTTTGTATATATTTATATAATATTTTTTAGGGCTCTTGGCTTTTTCAGGGTGGGACACACATGAATCTGGCAGTTAAGACAGTGTTCCCTATTATAGTATAACAGCGTATACAGTACGCTAGTCAAATGTCTTTCACAATCAAAAGTTTACACGTCAATGCTGGCTGCTTTAACACTTGGGAAAATTTCACTATCAGAAAGCAACACACTCACAAATGTTTGTCAATTTGAGAGAGAAATTGTGGCCCATAAAACAAACTCTGAATGTTTTGTAGTTTTACATCCTCAAAAGTTTTAACATAGTAGTTCTGAAGAATTGTCATTTGTGTATTCTTCAAAGAGAGTAATTTTATAACTGGACAGATCTTTAAATACATATTTATGAAATCTCAAAGTTGGAAAATCCCTGAATACCAAATGGGCCGCTGATCCAATTCTCCGGGGACCAGAATCTACCTCCATTTTGGGGGCAGCTCTGCCTGTCCTGGTTGGTTCTGTTTCTTCCTATCATTTGTCTTATGAACCCCTTGGGGCCAAGCATTTAACCATGGCTGTTATGATGACTCCCAGTATCTTCTCTTCTGTCACCAGTTACTTCACTGATACATTGCGGCTTCAATTGCCTTTACCATTCAAACCCCAATTCTGCAAAGGCTCTAGTTTTCTGTATCTTAAAGTATACAACCCAGAACTGAACATTTATAGGTAGTAGAACTGTTATCTTTTGTTCTAGTTAATGCTCTTCTGTTCTTCTATTTAACATTCAAATACTGAACTAGCTTTTCTGACACCCACATGAAACTGTTTCAGTCTCTGAGGTTAATTATTTTTACTGATGTTAATAGTCTTTCCCCATCCTACACTTGTGCAGTTGGTGTTTCGTTTAACCTGCTTTGCAGGACCTTCATTTATTCTAAGTTTTCTTGTGTTAGATTTATTAACCTTTTGAAATATTTTTGAATTCATCTAAGATATATATGCTATCTTATTCTTTTTGGTCACTCCAAAGTTTGATAGGTAAACACTCAATATTGAATGAAACAAGTCTGAGGACAGTGGCCTGAGAAACTTCTCTTTGATGTGATACAAATTGCCCAGTCTATTAATCAGCACCCATTAGGTAAGAATTTCAGCAATTTACTGATTCATCTATCAGCCCGTTTCTCTCCAAGTTTGTCTATAAGAATATCATGGGATCTTATATTCCTTGCTGAAGTCCTGCATTTCCCAAATGTTAGTCAAGTAACTGCCCCCAAAAGTTCATGAAGTTAAGTCAAACCTGTTGGTACGTAGTGAACAATGTTCTCTTCCAAAAGGCTTAAAAAACATTATCATTATAAATAAGGATCTATTCTAGGGCCTTTCCTGGCCCTAGAAGTTGTCCCCATTTTTTACCTCTTCCAAAACTTGGAACGGCATTTACCCTTTCTGATATTGTGGCCAACACCCACTCCACACTTCTGTATAACTACAGTGGGCCACCCAGAAATATTCCCAGATTTTCAGTATCGTTTCCTTGTTTTCCATTAGCATAAAATAGGAAATCGAGTTCTTATTGGCCCTATCACTTGTGTGTAATTCAACTTATTTGGAATTTTCATTTTGACCCTATTCCTGTAGGCCCATGCAAATTTAGGTGTTTATTTTTACTTGCGGTGTTTCTTGTATCATTTATGAGTTTTTGAGATTCTGAACTTGTTACATTTCTTCCTGTGTAAACTTGTGGTTCTTGTTTTTGTTTTGTTGTTTTACTTCTTTTAGGTACATCTCTCTTTTAATTCTTATGTATATGATTCTTCAATTTAAAAAGTATTTAAAAAAATAACCCTGATGCACTTAAAAAAAAAAAATCAAATCTACAAACTTGGCCTACAGCCTGAGGCCAAGTGTAGCATGTGGACTGGACAGAAAAGAACAGTGCCACGTCCAGAAGATGCTATTCACATCACAGACATTGGGTGCTCTTCTATACAACTTCCTAGCAAGTGGCAGGAAGGTGTTCTTACGAATAAAATTAATATAGTTATATTACAACAAATATCTGTCAGGTGGGAAGTAAGGTGACGAGAAAGGAGTCCTTTTTAGAGAGTTTTTTTTTTTTTTTAATTTATCAAGGATGCCACATGGGCCAGCAGCAGCACTGGAGCCTGGTATTTATTCTAGGAAAGGAGATGATGTAGCTTCTCTCTTTACATTCTTCCCTACCTATATTATATCCTCTTTCCATTAAAAAAAATGGGAAAAGGTAGCACTGTAGGAGTGTGGCAGAGGAACTGAGGAGCATATAGGTGATTGTAAAGGACCAACTTTGGCTTTCTAGCCTTGAGTTCAGACTTCTTGGAAGAGCCTCTCTGTGATACACTCTGGCCACCTTTTTTTTCACTTGTTTTTCTTGACTTTTTTGATTACTAGGGCTCCAAAAATAGCAAGTAAGAAAGAAGATATTAGAATGGAAGAAAATGCCCCAGTTGTAGACAGCTTTATAAATTTCTGCAGGTATATGAATTATATATAATGTATAATATAGGTAGTATATTTCTTGGCACACAGTTCTGTGTACATGCTATACTTCAATAAAAATTTATTTAAAAAAAAGAAACTTGGCTGGTGCAGTAAACTTCCTATATATTTATTTTTATTTATGTGAAGGTTTTGTTTGTTAATGGAAGACATGAAAATATTGAGTAGATGTGATGGGTATGCTTTAGATAGTATGAACTGAAATATAGATTATGTGTTTTGTGAAAAACTCAGGGAAGTGGGAGGTAGAGGGCAGCCTTCAAAAAATAGGCAGCATTTTAATCAGGGTAAGCTAAACTGATATAACAAACAGAACCAAACCTGTAATGGTTCAAAAAATAGGTTATTTCGTGCTCATGTATAGACCAAGTTGAGTGTTCCAGGTAAGTGGCTTCTTTCTTCCATGTAGTGATTCAAGTCTAAGACTTTTTCCATCTTGTGGCTATATCATCACCCAGGGCCTTGCTATCTGTATCCAACCAGCAGAAGAGGAAAGTGAGCAAGGAAAAGGTACACCTGCTTCTTACAAGTCTCATTAAACTTAAGGGGCATTGAAATCATACAAGACATATATTTTCTGACCACAATGGAATTAACCTAGACATCAATAAAAGAAAAATAAGAACAACACACTTAAATAATCAATATGCCTAAGAATAAATTGTAAGGGAAATTAGAAAATATCTTGGCTAGAATGAAAATGAAAATCACAACATATCAAAATTTGTGGGCTACAGCTATGACAGTATTTAGAGGGAAATTTATAGCTTGAAACACGTATTAGAAAGAATGTAGGGTCTCTAGCTAATTAAATTTTACTTTCCAAATTAAGTAACTACAAGTGCAAGAAAAGAAGAAAGAAGAATAAGAACAGAAATCAGTGAAATAGGAAACAAAAAAGAAAAATCAGAAGCTGGCTCTTTGAAAATATCGATGAAATTGATAAACTTCTAACCAGACTGATCCGGAAAAAAAACAAAAACAGAAATTATCAATATCAGAAATGAAAGGGGAAATCAACTGTATACTCCAATAAAGATTTTTAAAAAAGGAAACGAAAGGGGAGATACCAGCATGGGTCCTACAGACATTAACAGAAAAAGGGAATATTATGAAATATTTTATGCCCATGAAATTGATACCATAGAGGAAACATTTGAAAGTTAATCAGTGTAATTCCACCCTGGGAGTGAAAAAAGAAAAAGCATATCTCATTACATTCAGAAAAAGCATTTGACAAAGTTCAAGACCCATTCCTGGTAGAAATTCTCAGCAACCTACAAATAAAAGGGAACTTGCTCAGCCTGATAGAGGGTAACTATGTAATACCTAAACCTAATACCATAGTTAACGGTAAAAGACTAAATACTTTCCCTCTAATACACCAAACAAGGCAAGAACGTCTGATCTCACCACTTGTGTTCAATACTGACTGGAGGTTTTAGCCAGTGCAACAAGACTAAAAAAAAAAAAACAAGACAAAACAAACAAAACATACAAATTGGAAAGAAAGATACATAAAACTATTTGCAGATGACATGATTGTGTAAGTAGAAAATGATAAGCTATAAGTAAGATACTACAACTCAAGCTTAGCAAGGTCACAGGATACAATGTCAATGTTCCAAAATATATTTCTATATATACTAGGAACAAACAATTGAAATGAAAAAATAATGCCATAGCATCAAAAACCATGAAATACTTGGAGATAAATTCCATGAAGTATGTGCAAGACCTGAACACAGAAAACTACAAACTTTTTTTTTTTTTTTTTTTTTTTTTGCGGTACGCGGGCCTCTCACTGTTGTGGCCTCTCCCGTTGCGGAGCACAGGCTCCGGACGCGCAGGCTCAGCGGCCAAGGCTCACGGGCCCAGCCGCTCCGCAGCATGTGGGATCCTCCCGGACCGGGGCACGAACCCGCGTCCCCTGCATCGGCAGGCGGACTCTCAGCCACTGCGCCACCAGGGAAGCCCTACAAACCATTTTGAGAGAAGACCTAAATAAACGGAGAGATACCACATTATTGGATGAAAGTTTTAATATGGTTAAGATGTCAAAGCCAAATTGATTTATAGATTAAATGAAACCCTAATCAAAATGCTTAGCCATTTTTTTGGTAGAATTTAACAAGCTGATTCTAAAATTTATATCTAAATGCAATTGGATCTCAAATAGTCAAAACAACTTTAATAAAGAATTAAATTGGAGGATTTATAATGCCTGATTGCAAGAATTACTCTAAAGCTACAGTAATTAAGATAATGTGCTTTTGGAATCAGTGTATATATATATATATATATATATATATATATATATATAGACACATATACGTATGTGTGTGTGTGTATATATATAATCTGTGGAACACAATAGAGAGTCTAAAACTAGACACTGTAACTATGTAACACCTATATGGTCACTTGATTTTTCACAAAGCTGACAGTAATTTGGAGACAGGAAAGTCTCTTCCACAAATAGTTCTGGAATAAACACATACCTATATATTTTTTAAAATCAACTTTTATCCCCTTATGTCACACAAAAATTAACTTGAATCACAGACTTAACTGTGAGAACTAAAACTTCTAGATGAAAACATTGGAGGAACTTGGGTTAGGCAAAGCTCAGATAAGAATAACTTCTGCTCTTCCACAGAGAGACACTGTTAAGAAAACGGAAAGGCAAGCCTAAGGCAAAACATCTGTGATTAAGGAGTGGTGTTTATAATAGATATATTTTTAAAATAGTAAATATTGAAAAATTGAGGATTTTACCAAGGAAAAAATACAAATAGCACATAAGCACCAATGCTCCAAGTTACTAGTCATTAAGGAAGTGCAAATTGTAATACTGCTACAACTCACTAGAATGACTATAGTTACAAAGACTGGCATTGCCAAAAGTCAGCGAGAATGTGGAGTAAGTGGAACGCTCACATATTGCTCATGGGTAGGTAAAAGTCCAACCGTTTCAGAAGACAGTTTGGCAATTTCTTATAAACTTAAATATTATACTAACCTTATGACCCAGCAATTCCACTCCTCAGTATATACCCAAGAGAAATGAAAACATGTCCACACAAAAATCTACATGAATGTTCATAAAAGCTTTATTATGGTCCCAAACTGGAAACACCTCAAAAGTTCATCATTGGTGAAAGGATTAAACCGCATCCATACAATGAATGCTAATTAGCAATGAAAGGAACAAACTAGTAATTCATGCAACAACATGGGTGAATCTCAGAAGCATTATGTTAAGTGAAAGAAGACAGACACAAAAAAACATCATACTGTATGATTTCATTTATCTACAATTTGAGAAAAGGCAAAATTTAGTGACAGCAGATGAGTTGTTGCCAGGGGCTGGTGGGAGGGACATGAGGGAACTTTTGGGGGCTATGGAACTGTTCTATACCATGATTGTGGTGGTGGTTACATAACTAGACATTTGTCAAAACTCATCCAATCATACACCTAAGAGTGGTTAAGTATGTATTTTATATGTCATGAATCTGACTAAAAGAAAAAAATAATAAAAAGAATTGTGTTAATGTAAATTTGGGTTTATGGGTGTTTGCTATAATATTCTTTCAGATTTGTTTTATATTTAATAATCTTCATTTTAACATATTTCCAAAGATATGAACTTGAGATAAAATTCACAAGAGAAGAATAGTCCAAATTTTATACTGAGTTACTTTTCACATGTGTTCCTCTATGTGACCTGCTTAGGGTAAGTAACACCAGGGATTTACTATTTATGTATTTATTTAGTAGTTATCTGTATATATGAATGTATTTTTTATTTGATTAATTACTTAATGGTTTTCTTGAGCAGCTGCTGGGCTGATGGGGTTGGATGATCTATTTAAATGGACTGAATTATATGATGTTGATGGATATAAATTGATCAAGTCCACTTTATTATATAATCCCATCTGCTACCCTCTCCCAACAATCAGGAAGTCTTACTAATAAAACATAAAGTTAAAATTTTGTAAGAGTAATTAAAATTTTTATTGAAATCCAGCTATAGAAGATGCCCATAGTTGATTTCCTCAAGAGCCACAGTTTTGTAACCTTTTAGAACTCTCTCTTTTGCATGGCATCCTCACTAATGCAACATTCCCCAAACCAAAAATAATTTCATTTACTACATATAAGGAGTAGAATGCCTCCATTTTAATTTTGACTTTCATTTTGGTGTTTCCTCAAGCTTAGGAAAGTAGAATTCTACTCTTTTAAGCAAGACTATTGCCTTTCTGGTACAAAGGTATATAGGCTTAGGGTTGCATCCTTAGAGGCTTTTGGAGTGATAACTCTTTTTAAATTTATTTTATTTTTGGCTGCGTTGGGTCTTTGCTGCTGCGCGCAGGCTTTCTCTAGTTGTGGCGAGCGGGGGCTACTCCTTGTTGCGGTGCGCAGGCTTCTCATTGCGGTGGCTTCTCTTGTTGTGGAGCACGGGCTCTAGGAGTGCGGGCTTCAGTAGTTGTGGCACACATGCTCAATAGTTGTGGCGCGGTCTCTAGAGCTCAGTAGTTGTGGCGCACGGGCTTAGTTGCTCCGTGGCATGTGGGATCTTCCCAGACCAGGGCTCGAACCTGTGTCCCCTGCATTGGCAGACGGATACTTAACCACTGTGCCACCAGGGAAGCCCAGAGTGATAACTTTTTAAAAATAATAATCCCTTAACATATTTAGTTATTGCTCTTTATTCTGTAGTTCTAGGTTGACAAACTTTGTCTGTAAAGGGCCAGAGAGTAAATATTTTAGGCTTTGAGGACCAAATGGTCTCTGTCTCTCAACTCTTCTATTGTGGCAAGGAGCCACAGATATAAACAAGTGCAAGTGGATGTATTCAAATAAAACTTCATTTACAGAAACATGTATTGGGCTGGATTTGACTTGGGACAAAAGTTTGCTGACCTTGGTTGGAAATTATAAACACCCCCCAAAGCAAATCCATTACTTGTTGTGACAAAGGGTTCGTAGACTCATAGGTACTTCTGTGAAGAGAACTAATAATGGTAGTGGTACTTCTATGAAGAGAACTAATAATGGTAATGATGGGGTTCAGGACATGTTACCCCAAAATATGGCACCTTGGCATATTGAACATTTTAAGCTGAAGGAATTTGAGAAATGGCACATGCAGTAAGGATGTTCTGACCTTCCCTGAAGCAGGTCATAAAACCCTCTTGTGAGAGATTTATGCCCTCCCCATACCAGGAGGAAAGGAGCATCTTTATCTCTGAAGACAAAGGGACACAGAGGACTCTGAATAAATATTAGCCTTGCTAAGTTTCTCCAGTTTCCTACACTTACCTCATACCTTTTGTCCTATTATATCTTTCCATTCTTCAGCAAACTTAGCATAAAAACCCATTTCTTCAGGTTCTCATTCCCTTATGAAGGCTCTCATGATAATACTTACATTATATGAATTTGTATGCTTTTTTCTTGTTAATATGCCTTTTGTTACAGGGGTCTCAGTCGAGAACTTAAAAGGGTAGAGGAGAAAGATATTATTCCTCCCCTACAATAATAAAGTGTTCATTAGGAAGGCTCCATATCAAAATCAGGGTATGCATATTCTGTGACTCTGTGTGATGAACTGTGTACAAAACATCTCTCATTCCTGGAAAATATGAAGATATTTGTCCAAGATAGCTAACAAAATATTTCATGTATTCGATTAGGACTTTGCTTGGTAAAGTTTGCCTTAGTTACAAGTGTAAATTTCAGAGAGTAGGTTTTACTTCTATTTTGTTTCCCCTTCTATAAGACTATACTTTTTTATATTTAGCAAGTAACCAAAGATGACTACTACTCTTGTTAAAATAGTCCAACAAATCAAATTCACTTCTGTTGAAGATTTAGTTCCACAATTTTTCATTCTTGGTTATAAGGAGTAGATAAGGACATGACTAACATCAGTGACTAGAACCTATACAACTTGTGGTGCTCCCTATATTGAGATCATTTCCCCCGATTTAAAGCTGAGTTACTAATTAAGGACTAACAAATGATCAATTATGATTCAAGTAAAAGTACTATCATTAAGTAGAACTTGGAAGAACTAAGAGTCCTTGTCCTCATGGTCTTATTCAAATTAAACAAATATATTTTTAAAGTGGAAATAGAGGAAATAGAAGCAAGAAGTATATGATGGTAGATATGAGCTGCCGCTTCTTGCCAGTTTTTACTATGAAAGAGAACTAATATTTATTAGTTTTAGTACTAATATTTTAGAACTAATATTTATTAAAACTAGTATTTCTTATTTAGTGAGAGAACTTTCCAGTTGCCTCTTGGGATAACTGAGGATGGAGGAATTACCTTTAAGCAGATCATTCTTGTTTTGTGAAGAATAATTTGAGAGGTTCCCTTTAGTTCTGTAAATGTAGTGAGTAGACCGCATTGTCCTGATAGTTAATACTTGATAGTAATTGTTATTATTATAATGTTAACAGTAGCAACTTTTATCAGTGACATAGGCCTTGCTCTGCAAAGCTCTTTGCTGGGGAGGAACCTAACCAACCTTTACAGGAGGAACCTATTGCCACTGGTAGGTAATTTGTATATGCTATTTAATTAAATTTAAATCATTTAAATTTAATTAAAATTTAAAATTTATGTGTACTTTATTTAATCTTCATAACAACACTATGAAGTAAGTGTAGCCGATGAAAAAGCTGAGATCCATCTAAAGAGACTGAATGAATTACCCAAGACCACAAAGCTTAGAACTGGCGGATCTGGGATTCAAACACATGTCTATTTGGCCCCAGACTTTCCCATTTCACCGTGCTAGTGAAGATAAGTTACCATGAAATTGTAACTCCACCCATAAGAAGAGAGGAGAGCACTTTACTGAATTTATTGATGAGTTCTAGTAGTTTTTTTGTGGCATCTTTAGGATTTTCTATGTCATGTGCAATGACCGTTTTACTTCTCCCCTTCCAATTTGGATTCCTTTTATTTATTTTTCTTATCTGATTGCTATGGCTAGGACTGCCAATACTATGTTGAATAAAAAGTGGCAAGATGGGGCTTCCCTGGTGGCGCAGTGGTTGGAAGTCCGCCTGCTGATGCAGGGGACGTGGGTTCATGCCCCGGTCTGGGAGGATCCCACATGCCGCGGAGCGGCTGGGCCCGTGAGCCATGGCTGCTGAGCCTGTGCGTCCGGAGCCTGTGCTCCGCAATTGGAGAGGCCACAACAGTGAGAGGCCCGCGTACTGCAAAAAAAAAAAAAAAAAAAGTGGCAAGAGTAGGCATCCTTGTCTTGTTCTTGATCTTAGAGCAAATGCTTTCAGTTTTTCACTGTTGAGTATGATGTTCACTATGGGTTTGTCATATATGGTCTTTATTATGTTGAAGTACATTTCCTCTATACCCACTTTGTTAAGAGTTTTTATCATAAATCGATCTTGAGTTTTTACAAAACCTTTTTCTGTACCTACTGAGATGATCATATGATTTTTATTCTTCATTTTGTTAATGTGATGTATCATTTGATTTGTGAATACTGAACCATCTTTGCATCCTTGGAATTAATCCCACTTGATCATGGTGTATGATCTTTTTAATACACTATTGAATTCATTTTGATGAGGATTTTTACATCTACGTTCATCAGTGATATTGGCCTGTAATTTGTGTTTGATATCTTTACCTGGTTTTGGTATCAGGATGATGCTGGCCTCATAGAATGATTTCAGAAGCATTCCTTCCTCTGCTTTGGAATAGTTTGAGAAAAATAGGTGTTAACTCTTCTCTAAATGTTTGTTAGAATATTCCTCTGTTGCCTCATTTTGCCTGATTCACTGCTTTTATTTCTACGTATTTGGTAGGTTGGTTGCATTTTCCAGTCTTGGAGAAGTGGTCTTATGTAGGAAACATCCTGTGGGGCTCAGCAGCACACTCCCTTGCGGTCACCAGAGCTATATGCTCTAGGAGTTCCCTCTATGTGAGCTGCTTGAGTCCTTCTGTTGTGTCAGAGGGTACTGTGGGTGTGCTGGTAGGTGTGGTTGGCCTCTGGTCCGGTTGGTGGTCAGGCCCTGCCTAGTGCAGAGGCTGCCAGGCTCTGGTGGGCAGGATTGGGTCCTGGCATGACTGGCTGCTTGGCCAAGGGAGTCCTGGTCTTGGTGCCAGCCCACTGGTGGAGCAGGGCCATGTCACAAGGCAGCTGGCTACAGAGCTCGTGGGAGGGACAGGGGTGCTTGGGCTAGTAGTGCTGGCTCACTGGTTGGCAAGCTGGATCCCAGGTTAGCTAGCTGTAGGGTCAGGGGTCCTGGAGCTAGTGTCAGCCTGCTGGTGGGTGAGGCTGGTTCCTGACAATGATGGCTGTGGGATCCATGGTGTCCTGGAGCTGGTATTGGCCTGCTGGGTAGGTGGGCCAGGTCTTGACATGGCTGGTTATGGGGCCACTGTGGCCCCAGGGTTCATGTAACCCCACTGGTGGGTGAGGCTGGTCCCAGGGCTAGTGCTGGCCCACTGGTGAGTGGGGACAGGTCCTGGGCCCTCTGGTGGGCAAGCCCAAGTCTCAGGGAGACTGCAGGTTCAGGTGGCTCTCAGCAGCCAACCTGCTGGTGGCTATGGCCGTGTCCCACCCAGCTAGATGCCTGGCCTGGGGTGTCCTAGTACTAGAGCCAAATGGCTGGCGGGCGAGACCAGGTCCCAGCGCTCATCAGCTAGAGGGAGGATTCCAAAATGACACTTGCCAGTACGGTGTCCTCATGTTGGGATGAGATCCCAGAAATGGCTGCCGCCAGCATCTCTGTCCCCAGGGTGAGTCCCAGTTGTCTCCTGCCAGGAGACAGTTTCTCAGTACTTGGGACCGGGGCACGAACCCGTGTCCCCTGCATCGGCAGGCGGACTCTCAACCACTGCGCCACCAGGGAAGCCCTTTGTGGTTCTTTCATTTTTAGTTGTAGATCTTTTCTGCTATTCTTCGTGTGGTTCTCATCCGTAGTTGCTCTGCAAATAGTTGTGATTTTGGTGTGCCAAACTTACGTGGGAGGAGGTGAGCTCAGGGTCTTCCTACTCTACCATCTTGGCCTGAATCCTAGATTATTTGTTAATATCTTTATTGAGCAAAATAAAATGCTGGTACCATATTTTGATTTCCAATTTTTTTTTTTTTTTTGGAATTTTCCTTGCCTATAAAATCCCAAAGTTTGGGCATCATTGTTCTAATTACACACAAACTAGCTGATGGAATATTTATTGTTTAGGACACAGATTATTTTTTTCAGGACTTCCCTGGTGGCACAGGGCTTAAGAATCCGCCTGCCAAGGCAGGGGACACGGGTTCAATCCCTGGTCTGGGAAGATCCCATATGCTGCGGAGCAACTAAGCCTGTGCGCTTCAACTACTGAGTCTGCTCTCTAGAGCCCACGAGCCACAACTACTGAGCCCGTGTGCCACAACTACTGAAGCCTGTGTGCCTAGAGCCCATGCCCTGCAACAAGAGAAGCCACTGCAATGAGAAGCCCATGCACCACAATGAAGAATAGCCCCTGCTCGCCGCAACTAGAGGAAGCCCGCCCACAGCAACGAAGACGCAATGCAGCCATAAATAAATAAACAAAACAAAACAAAAAAAACACTGTTACAACTCAACAGCAAATAATGATTTATTTGCTGATTTTTAAAATGAGCAAAGGACTTGAATAGACCTTTCTCCAAAGATGATATGCAAATGGCTAACAAGCACATAAGAGATGCTCAATATCACACATCATCAGGGAAATGCAAATCAAAACCACAGTGATGTACAGCTTCACACTCATGAGGATGGCTACTTTCAAAAACAAAACCAGGGCTTCCCTGGTTGCGCAGTGGTTAAGAATCTGCCTGCCAATTCAGGGGACACGGGTTCGAGCCCTCATCCGGGAAGATCCCACATGCTGTGGAGCAACTAAGCCTGTGTGCCACAACTACTGAGCCTGAGCTCTAGAGCCCACAAGCCACAACTACTGAAACCTACGCGCCTAGAGCCTGTGCTCCGCAACAAGAGAAGCCACCACAATAAGAAGCCCTTGCACGCAACAAAGAGTAGCCCCCGCTCACCGCAACTAGAGAAAGCCCACGCGCAGCAACAAAGACCCAATGCAGCCAAAAATAAAAAAATAAAAATAAATTTATTTTTTAAAAAAGTATTGTGAAGGTACGTGATAGATTAATTGCATTAAAAGCCCAATTAATGGCTTCCCTGTATGTCCTTTGCTCTGTAACTTCTCACATTGGCTCTGGCCTTGGTACATCAAGTACAGTCAAAAAGATGCTATGTGACTTCTGAGGCTAGGTCACAAAAAGGATGCAGTTTCTGCCTTGCTTTCTCTCTTCATCTGGGACACTCACATTTGGGACCATGCCAGAATGCTATGAGGAAGCCCAAAGTAGCCAATGTGGAGAGACAGCATGGAGAGACCCATGGGTAGAGAACTGAGACCCCCCTAGCTGACCCCCTGGCCAGCATCAACTTCACCAGAAAGATAATGGGTGGCAAAAAAGCACTGAAAAGATACTCAACATCATTATTCAAAAGGGATGTGCAGGGCTTCCCTGGTGGCGCAGTGGTTGAGAGTCTGCCTGCCGATGCAGGGGACACGGGTTCGTGCCCCGGTCCGGGAGGATCCCACATGCCGCGGAGTGGCTGGGCCCGTGAGCCATGGCTGCTGAGCCTGCGCGTCTGGAGCCTGTGCTCCGCAATGGGAGAGGCCACAACAGTGAGAGGCCTGTGTACAGCAAAAAAAAAAAAGGATGTGCAAATTAAAACAGCAATGAAATACCACTACTTACATACTAGAATCACAAAAATTAAACAGACTGAACATAGCAAGTGCTGGCAAGGATGTGAAAGAACTAGAACCTCAGACGCTGCTGAATGTAACGTAAGATGGTGCAAGCACTTTCTGAAATAGTTCGGCAGTTTCTTACATGGTTAAACATAGACAATGTACACCTTCCATATGATCCAGCCATCTGCTCCTAGGTGTTTACCCAAGAGAAAAGAAAACTATATCATTACAAAAATTTGTACCTGACCACAGCAGTTTTATTTATAACAGTACAAAACTGGAAAAAAAATACATGTTCAGTTATCAACAGTGGTGTATATTCATAGAGTTGAATACTACTACATGATAGAAAGGAATTAACTAAACACTGGGATACCACTATAATCATATTGGAATGGCTTATATCCAAAACACCGACAACTCTAAACATTAGCAAGGACGTGGAGCAACAAGGAACTCTCATTCATTGCTGGTGGGAATGCAAAATGGTACAGCCTTCCAAAATAGAAGACAGTCTGGCAGTGTCTTGCAAAGCAAAATAGAGTCTTACCATAAAATCCAACCATCACACTCCTTGGTATTTACCAAAAGGAGTTGAATACTTATGTCCACACAAAAACCTGCACGTGATGGTTTACAGTAGCCTTAAAATTGCCAAAACTTGGAAGCAACTAAGATGTCTTTCAGTAGGTAAATGGATAAACTCTGGTACATCCAGACAATGGAATATTATTTGGCACTGAAAAGATCTATTAAGCCACAAAAAGACATAAGGGAAACTTAAATGCATATTACTAAATGAAAGAAGCCAGTCTGAAAAGGCTTATACTATATTATTCCAACTATATGACATTCTGGAAAAGGCAAAGCTATAGAGACAGTAAAAAGATCAGTGGTTGCCAGGGGTTCAGGGGAATGGAGGGATGAATATGTGAAGCACAGGGTATTTTCGAGAAAGCGAAACAATTCCATTATGACACTATAAAGGTGGATACATGACTGTGCATTTGTCAAAACGCTCAGAACTGTACAACGCGAAGAGTGAACCTTAATGCAAACCAGGGACTATAGTTAATAATGTATCAATATTGGTTCATCAATTGTACATCAAATGTACCATGCTAATGCAAGATGCTAATAATAAGAGAAACTGCAGACGTAGAAGAGAAGAGAGGGGTATATGGAAACTCTCTGTAGTTTCTGTTCAATTTTTCTGTAAAACTACAGCTTCCTCTAAAAAAAAAGTGTTAGTTAATAAAAATGAATGAAATATTGATACATACAAGTTGGATAAATGTCCAAATAATTATGCTGAGTAAAAGAAACCAGACAAAAGTTACATACTGTATGGATGATTCCGTTTATATAAAAATCCAGAAAATGCAAACTAATCTATAGTGATAGAAAGCAGATCAGAAAGCAGGGACAGGCATAGGCTGTGGCGGGTGAGGGTGAGGTGCAGGGAGGGGTAGGAGGGAGGGACTACGAAGGGGCAAGAGGACACTTTTGCAGGTGATGGACATGTTCATTATTTTGATTGTGGTGATGCTTTCATGGGTATATACACATGTTAAAACATCAAATCGTATACTTCAGAGTGCAGTTTATTGTATGTCAATTATCCCTCAATCAGTCTGTTTTTTAAAGGTCAAAGCCAAAAAGTAACCCAACCATTTACTAATTTTCATGACACTACAGTTGTTCATAGGCCAGTTTGAACACTGGTCCTGGCTGGACTCACTCAAGCATCTGTGGTCAAATGGCTGGCTGCCTGGGGACTGGCTAATCTAGAGGACCCTCGATGGGAAGACTCCAGAGTCCTTCCCATTATCTCCCACATCCTGCAGCAGACCAGCCTGGACCTAATCTACCCGTGATGGCAGTGATCTAGAAGAGGAGCACTTTTTAAAGCCTCTTTTTGTGTCAAGTTTCTTTTTGTGTCATTGGCCAAAGCAAGCCATACGTCTAAGTCCAGACTCCGTGTGTCAAGGGACTAAGGAATGATGGGGCAAAAGACCATTAAGGGATACAGGGATGACATTAATTAGCTACTAATACAATTAATCTATCATGTACCTTAATGTTTTAATTTGTATTCTTTAATTCCTTCAGAAAGGTACTTTTTTCAGTTACTTTTATGTGATGTTAATTTCTTATATATAATTTGCAATCCTTTTTAATCTTATTGAATGTAATTTAGCTACTGATTTTAAAGGTTTGCATTCATTCTTTATATGTAAAAATAGTAAGGTTTTGTCCTGACATCTGTCACATTTTCAAGTTGTTAACATTTCTTTTGCTATTTGTTTTGTTATACTTTGTTATAAAAATGTTTTAAAATAGTTTAACTTCCAGCAAAAACATGTTTAGATATTTTCTTTTGATTTCAATGATTATATAAATTGAACTTCCTTCTCTAGCTGGGACAAATCTATTTTAGTGTTTCCTTCTACTTAAAACTGTTTTACAGCTGAGGTAACAGAGGCTCAGAGAAAATTTTGTCCAAGATCAAACAGAGCAAGTAGTGGAGGCAAGCTTGAATCTCACTTCTTCTGACTTAAAATTTCACTCATGAAACTGTGTCAAGGTAAGAACATTTGGCTAAGTGATAAAAATCTACATTTTTGTGCAGAATGTACTTTCCACTTTTCTTTTTCCCCCCTCCCCTCTCCACCTCTTCCTTCTAATCCTCCTGCTCCCCCTCCTCCCCCTCCTCCCCCCTTTTTTCATCCCCCCCTTTTTCTTCAGCATAGGGTTAGGTCTATCTATCTTTAAGTAACTACTTTTATTCATTTAATAATCTACCAGGCACTGAACTGGATGCTGGGAACTTAAAGATGACTATGCAGCAGATCCTACCCTTAGATCACAGAGGCTATAAACAGGTAAATGCAATATGGAAAATCTTTCTATTTTAAATGTTTACTAATCTGACAGGTTATATACTGTAAGTTATTTTGGTGGGTTTGCTGCTGAGTGGAAGTCTTTATGAGTGAATGGCTTTAAAATTCATTTAATGAATCCTAGTACATATATATTTTAAAATACATATATATAATATAAAAATACATTTTTTAATTGATTACTGCTTTCTATATGTTTGTTTCTGTTTAATTGCAGGATGTTTCTGGGTCCTGTGATAGCCTCCATTGTTCTGTTATCTGTTTTCTAGATAGTTCATTCTTCTTTGCTTTATTATTGTGATTGTGTAACTCACCTGGGATTTGAATTTCCTGAGAGATTATCTTCATTATCTCTGATTCTTTGTTTTGATTATCAGAGTTAGCTCTTAAAGCTTCCTTAGTGTTCTTGTTCCTTATTCATGTTTAGAAGTTTTAACAGTCAGTGTGTTTGGCTTTCTACAATCAATATTTCCTTCTAAGTCCCCTTGAAAGTAAGTAATACTGATACCTTGTATTTGTTGGGAATTCTTAACTTTGTGGCTATCTTTTCCGAATTGCCGCCAACTTCCTCTTCTCTCCAGTGTTTCCATACTTGTTCATTGAATCCATGTTTTCTTTCTGCTTTTTGAAGTTTGCTTTTTTTTTTCTCTCTTTAGTTTAAATCTTGAGTATGGGATATTTATGAATTTTGGATGACTGATGTTAGGAGGAGTCACCTTAAACTGAACTCTAGCACCTGACTGGAAGTTCTAGGGAGACTCCAAACTCAGGGTTTCCTAACTTACATTTTTTCTAATGGACGAGTAATACATATTCATTACAGAAAAATCAGAAAAATCAGAAAAAGTTTAAAGAACAAAATGGGTATCACGCATAATCTTAGAACCCAGAGATAAACACTGTAAACACTTTTTCTAATAGGACTTTACAAATCTACATGAAAAAAATTTTTTTTACATAATTAGGACAACTACTTTATAGCCTGCATTTTCCCCACTCAATGCAATAATGTGGGATTTCTTCCATGTCATTAAAAATCCTCGAAAATATGCTCAATGACTAATATTCCATAACGTGGATGTACAATAATTTACTTAGCTAGTCTTGAACATTTTGGTTGTTCCCAATATTTGTTGTAATAAATAACACTAATTAATAAGCCTATTATTCATAAACTTTTGTCCCTGTCCTGAATTATTTCCTTAAGATAGAGTTTGGAAGTGGAATTGCTGAGTTAAAGGATATGAACATTTTCTCCCCTCTTTTTATTATGAAAGTCATATATGCTAAGGACAGATAACTCAGGGTAAAGTATAAGTCCAAGTATAGGTACAAGAAAAGCGTTAAGTCCAAGGATTCTCATCCTCATTCTCTTATTCTCAGCCTCCAGGCAACCACTAGCTGAAATTCAACATGCACGCACAAATGTGTGTGCTATTTCTTCCCACATGATTCTGATCATATTATACTTCCTCTCCTTATCCAATTGTCCAACATCACTTACTAAAAAATCTCTCTTTTCCTCACTGACTTCCTCACTTGTCATATTCTAAATTCCCTTCTGTATAGGGAGTAGGGGTCCATTTTTGATGACTCCAATCCGTTCAATTGATCTTTTGACTTATCCTTCTTCAGTAACAACTCTTCATTTTTCTGGAGTTTTTATTTTAAAATCCAGTAGAGCTAGCCCCATTTATTTATTTTTAGCCTCTGAAAATGTTAAAACTCATGATACACATTGCCAGATTACTTTCCAGAATTATTATGTCAATTTACACTGGATCCTTATCAGTACTATAATCTTTTAGAAATTCTTTGCCAATGTGATTGAAAATGCTTATTTATTTCTCTAACGTTAGTTGATTTGTGTTAAATATGTTTACATTCTTTTTTCACGTTTCCTACTGACATTTTAAAATTGATATTATGAAATTTCATATATGTAAAAATATGTTGAACAATATATACATATCTTTAATGTTAAAAACATAAGTTCTTTGGCGTATTTATTACCAATGCATTTCCCAATTTGTCATAAGCTCTTCAATTAGTATGCTTTGTGATATAAAAAATTCAAAAATTTTATTCAGTCAATTCAATCTTCTTTTTAATTGCTTTTATTGTTTAAATGATCCTCCCACCAGAGACCAGATGATTATTCCAGATTGTTTTTTAAAAGATTCTAGTTTGCATATTCTGGAAGTTCGAAGTATTATTGTTGTTATTGTATTTTATTTATAAATTTATTTATTTATTTTTGGTTATGTTGGGTCTTCATTGCTGTGCGTGGGCTCTCTCTGGTTGCGGTGAGCCGGGGGTGCTCTTCGTTGCGGTGCACGGGCTCCTCGTTGCGGTGTCTTCTCTTGTTGCAGAGCATGGGCTCTAGGGGGGTGGGCTTCAGTAGTTGTGGCACATGGGCTTAGTAGCTGTGGCTCGCGGGCTCTAGAGCGCAGGCTCAGTAGTTGTGGCTCACGGGCTTAGTTGCTCCACGGCATGAGGGATCTTCCTGGACCAGGGCTCGAACACATGTCCCCTGCATTGGCGGGTGGATTCTTAACCACTGCACCATCAGGGAAGCCCCTGTTATTGTTATTTTAAATAAAATGTGGAGAGGTCAAAATGGGACATTTCTGTCATGAAATTGTATTGTTATGATGTAGAGTTTTCTTTGCATTTGTATGATTGAATACTTAGAACTTAAGTATTTATAATTAAAAGTTATTTTTATAATTTAAAATTATTGTAAAACTAGGGGTATTTTTGCATTTTGTTTTTTATCCCCAAATAGTAACTGCATTTCAGTTAGCGTCTGTTGTGAAAATTACCATTATGTGTTTGAGTGATGAAGCAATTTGAAGACATAAAAGTTAAATTCCTTTAATTAAAAAAAAAATACAACATGCCTAATTAATAATGATGAGAGATGCCACTTATTGGATGCATTCAACGAGCTAGACATTGGGATTTACTCATTTTTAAAAATAACTTAGTGAAAATCAAATCGCTCATTCCTCTGTACAAATTACTGCTTCTAAGTAACTCTACAAAATAATAATAATATTAAGAATTCATATAACTTTCCTCATTTAAAAGAAAAAAATTCTTATTTGATCAAATGAGTCATAGAGCTGTTTATTATATGTGCCACTGATTAAATGGAAGCCATGAATCATTGCATTCTTTTAAGGTTTGATAATCTTCTAGGAAAGCACACCTAACTTTAATGCAGTTTCCTCAGGGTTGCAAATTTGTATTTTATACTTGTCAATGATTCAACAACTCTTAATGCTCGCATTAAGAACTGTTTACCTATAATAAAGCACTTGAACTTGCTAGACATGGAATTCCTCATTCTGCCTCTCCCACTTTGAAAAGTGCTTCCAAGAATGGACAGCCATCTCCTCTTCTGAAAATAGGAAAAACTGAAAAAACTGAAGGCACCTGGGGTCAAACTGAGCATACAAATAGGTATTTATCAGGTTGGCTTGAATTGAGATAAAATAAAATAGCTTTAGTAACAAAGGTTTTGTTGTTCCCTGCCTCCAAATCCTCTTCCTCTTGCATTTATAGGAGAAGAGACCTTCAAAACAAAAAATAAAAAGCCTGTTTCCCCTTGCAAAATTTGATGTTTGTTTCTTTTTCTCAGAGCTAGCTAAAAAGAAAAAAGAAATGTAAGCTATTTTTTTATTGTGGTAAAATATACATAATATAAAATTTACCACTTTAAGAATCTGTAAGTGTACAATTCAGTGGCATTAAGTACATTTACATTGGTGTGCAGCCACCTCCAGAACTTTTCATCAGCCGAAATGGAAACTTTATATCCATTAAACAAAAACTCCCCATTACCCCCCTCCTTCCAACTCCCGGTAACTACAGTTCTGCTCTCGATCTCTATGAATTTGTCTAAGTACTTCATATAAGTGGACTCAGACCATATCTATCCTTTTGTGTCTGGCTTCCTTCACTTAGCATAATGTCTTCAAGGTTCATCCATGTTGTAGCACATGGTCAGAATTTCATTCCTTTTTAAGGCATATGTCACATTTTGTTTGTCCATTCATCCATTGATAGACACTTGGCTTGTTTCCACCTTTTGACTGTTGTGAATAATGCTGCTTTGAACATCTGTGTACTCCATCAAGTAACACCTTAAATTGCAATGGAACCCTGTGTCCTCTTCCCATTTGCCCTCCTCTATGCCCAGGTCCCAGTCCAGAAATGAATCCCTCAGTGTAGTGACTATAGTTTCATCAGCCTCACAGGTGTAAAGAGAATTTTTTAAAACTCCCTTTACCTTTACCCTTTCTTCCTTGGCTGGGCAAAGTCCAGCCAAGTTTATTCATAAACCACGCAAAGCTCGTTAACACGACCAAGCAATTCAGCGAGTTCCCTTCCCACTTTTGTTACTGCAGGAAGGCACTCCGCAGGGATAAGATTGTGAAACATGGCTGAGGATAAAGGCAAGAGAGATTCCATTGGAATGAGTATGAAGGGAGGCCGGACAAACAACGGGTTTGTACAAAATGAAGACATCTTGGAGACGGACCTGGACCCAGGCAGCCCAGAGGACAGCCCACAGCACAATGCCGTGGACATCTTTGGCCCTGCGGAGCCCGACTTGAAGGATGTGCGGCCCTACGCGGGGATGCCCAAGGAGGTACTGTTCCGGTTCTCGGGCCAGGCCCGCTACCGGGTGCCCCGGGAGATCCTCTTCTGGCTCACCGTGGCTTCTGTGCTCGTGCTCACTGGGGCCACCATAGGCATCATTGCCATCTCTCCGAAGTGCCTGGACTGGTGGCAGGCGGGGCCCATGTACCGGATCTACCCGAGGTCTTTCAAGGACAGCGACAAGGATGGGAACGGAGATCTAAAAGGTGCGTGCCTTGAGAGTTTGGGGCGTGTCCGAGATGAGGTTGTAGAGGACTCTTTCAGTTCTTGAAGGGCATTATGCCTGGGTTGTGCGGTAAGCACATTCCATCCAGTATGACTGGTCACGCCACGTTTCTCCTTGTTGATGATGTTTAAAAGCCCCTCAACAGAGCCCAACAGTTCTTCCCATATGATGAAAGGTTACTTGCTGGAGCCCTTTGAGCCCCCAAAGAGCTGTTTAGTTTATTGCCTGCTAGGAGCCTTTGCATAGTTGGTCATCCATTCTAACTTCCTACGTGGGCAAGTTTCCTCTTGAAATGTGTCCTGCTTCTGTGCACTTTAGAGTTGGTTATCTCAGAGTGACTGTTTAGCATTCCTTTTCCAGTGTGCACAGTGGCTGGTTTGGCAATCTGGTGGAGAGTTTCTGATTGGTGAACAAAGCATAAATAATATTTTAGAAAAAGATTAAGTGATATCTTTAAAATGTGTAGGCTGAGTCTCTAAAGCTTAAATTCTGAGAAATGAAGGAAAGAAGAAAAGGCATAAAGTGGGTTGGTCATTACTTGAATTAAGGATTATTTAAAAACAATATCCATATTAATAAAAAAGGTTAAAAAAATTTAAAGTTATGCTAATAATTTCCTAGTGTGTTATGTCCTAGTTATTTATTGTGTAAACAAGGACACAAACCATATACAGGAACTGTCCTAGGCAGATTGGTTGATATGGTCACCCTAGTTAAGGGCAACAATAAGGAACAAATAAACTAATAAGGTAATTTTTGATAATGATATTTGGCTTGAAGAAGACAAAACAGAATGATTTAATAGAGTATGGGAAGTGGAAATGAGCTTAGTCAAACTTTAAAATGTTATAAATACACTCTTGAAATCTCCAACTTTCCTGATAACTAATAAAAGGCTTTTCTTTTTCACACTCATATAATTTTTCTCTTTTTAAAGTCATCCTGCATCTTAGCTAATTGAACTATTTTCTGTCCTTCAAGATGCAGTTCAAACCTGCTTCCTTCATTAATCTGTATTTAACCTCCCGATCAGTGGGTGCGCTCCCCTCCCCAAGAGCTCTTGTGGTGCTTTGCAGGAGCAGCACCTCTGATACTGCCTTGTAAGTGTCTGGGTGAGTTTCCTTCCAACCCCCAGCCCCCAGCATGGTCCTAGCACCTGCTTCTTACAAAGGAAATGCTTTGCAAAGTGATGTTTTGATGGAATACAGCCCAGAACCCTAAACCCAAAAATACACTCCCCACTTCCTGGCCCTCCCTCTGTAATCTCTATCTAAATTCTCCTGCAAAGGGCAACTTCTAATCACCTCTCACATTTGCCATTTCCAGTAACTTTTCCTTGAAAGACTGGCTGCCTCCTGTAATTAATAGGTATTTTTCCTTGAGGTTGAGGGTTTTTTTTTGTTTTTTTTGAGGGGGTTTTGTTGTTATTACTTGAAGAAAATGTTCCAGGTTTCAGTTCAGTTTACTGCCTTCTGTCCCCTGGAATGTGGGCCTGGGAGATCCCTTGTTTACTTTGTGTCTGTTCAGCCTCTGTTTTTATCATCCTGTTCCTTTGTGCTGGTTTTTGATATAAATCAAAATTCTGACTTAAATCTGCCTTAAAATTCTTTTGTTGCCTTTTGACACTCTGTGTGGTCTGACAGCCACCCACATAGGGAACTGAGGTACAATGAGGACAAAGATAAGCAGCCTGTTACAGGGGAAGAGCCCCAAGGCCAGGAGTCAGGGGACTTTGTGCTTTGGTCTCTGTGACCTCGGACAGGCTGATTGTAGGAAGCCACATAGAGTCCCACAGAAAGTTACTGGAGGCTGAATACTAAACTCAACTCTGGCTCTGCATTTAGGACTCTGAACTAGAAGCACCGCCCCCCTCCCCCCCACCCCATGCCACTATCTGCTAATTATCCTACGAGGTCCCAAGTACAGTTTCATCCCCATATCTCTTCTCAGCCAACTCTAGAATTCTCTTCTGTATAAATTCTTGGCTTCAGCAATATCCAAAGGAAATAGAATGTGGATCACATAGGTAATTGTCAGTTTTCTAGAAGCCACATTAAAAAAGTAAAAGAGAAACGAGTGAAATTAATTTTAATAATATACTTTGTATACTCCAACACATCCACTGTATCACTTCAACATATAATCAATATAAAAATATAAATGAGCTATTTTACATTCTTTCTCTTCATACTGGGTCTTCAAAGTCCAGCGTGTGTTTTACATTTACAGCATATCTCAATTCAGACTAGTCACACTGCCAGTGCTTGATAGCCACATGGCAAGTGGCTACACACTGGACAGTGCAGCACAGACCACTTGACCATCAGGGGCCATGTATTATTCTTCTTCGTACCTTGGCACTTAGCCCAGCATCTGGCTTGAATTAGGTGCTCAAAAACCATGTGTAGAATAAATTAACAATAGTGTAGTCTTGGTTTTAAGTATAAAATATGAACAAGCCACAGACAGATTTTTTTAAATGTTATGCATCGATGTTAAAGGTCAAAGGTTATTGCTAGAAGATTAATTTGCTGTTGTTTGTAGAACTAGACCTTGCTATTTGAATTTTACCCATATTCAACAAATTCTAAATATTTCTGTCTCAATATAAATATTTCCATCTTAGACCTATTCCTTTTATTTTTAATCCTTCAACTAAAAAAACCCAAACTTTATTTATTTTTCACGGCTTTGACTTTTTCATTCAGGTATTCAAGATAAGCTAGATTACATCACAACTTTAAATATAAAAACTGTTTGGATTACTTCATTTTATAAATCATCCCTTAAAGATTTCCGACATGGTGTTGAAGATTTCCGAGAAATCGATCCCATTTTCGGAACAATGAAAAATTTTGAGAATCTGGTTGCAGCCATACATGATAAAGGTAAATTGAATGGAAGGTGGGTGGGATGGGTTAAGAAAAGCATTTCTCCAAATGCTTAACTTAAAGCATTTTCTCCTTCACTGTTACATTATTCTAATATAATCTTGTCCTAACCTTTGAAATGTTTTCATTCATTAGGTTTAAAATTAATCATCGATTTCATACCAAACCACACCAGTGATAAACATGCTTGGTTTCAATGGAGTCGGAACCGGACAGGGAAATATACTGATTATTATATCTGGCATGACTGTACCCGTGCAAATGGCAAAACCATACCGCCCAACAACTGGGTGAGTACCGACGTGCTTGATTTACAGAGGGAAAATGGGCAGCTCTTTAGTGATTAAACTGGTTATTTACAAAGCCCTGTTAAAAGAAAAACAAATGATGGGTATAGTTTATGGGAAGGGGAACAAGTTTCCCAAAGAAATAGAAAAGTCCCAAGCCTCCTAATCATTTGATTTTGGATCTGGAGTTTTCATTTTATTGTAGAGCTGATGTATTTCAGCAAATTAAAACCTATGCTCTCTATTAATGTCTTCTTCCTTTACTTCCCACTCCGTCCAGCTTAAACTCCATGTCCTATTTGTTCAGTAACTGTCTTGCTACTCTTCAGACCCCTTTGCCTTTCTGGCTTTTTGACTCCACTGTCGAACAAAACACTAGCCATAAATAAACCCAACCATCCATTTTCTCTTTACCTGAACCTCGGTATCTAAGCCTCTGGACACACTCATTGTCCCCACCTGAACTGATCCAGCCATTCGTTTGGGGGAAGTTTACTAAATCCAGCTGATCAACATACCCTCCCGCCTCTTGCCTTCTCCCCATCTTATCACTCTCGGCAGCAAACTCTACTTTAAAGAAAGAACAGAAGCCATCACACCTGCCCCCATTCCCACCCTCTTCCTAGTCACTTCTTTTGCAGCTGAGACCATGTCTCTCCTGTCTGGGGTTACCAGACTTACAAATGAAAATTCAGGAAGCCCAGTGAAATCTGAGCTTTAGATAAACAGTGCATAATTTTTTAGTGTAAAATATTGCATGGGACATACTTACACTAAAACAGTATTTGTTGTTTATCTGAAATTCAGATTTAATTGGATGTCTTATATTTTATCTGGCGACTCTACTCTTGTCCCAGGACAGTCCCTCTGCCCACTCTAGTTCACCTTCTCTCCTGCTTTCTGCGGAGCCTTTTCCTCTGCATCATCTGTCCCCCCTCCAGGGCCTCCTTCTTGACCTCCATAAACATTTAAAGAGGCTGACTCCTGGGCATCAACTTTTAGATGACCCAAGGGCACTCAAAGGACACGTGTCAAAGCCGACTGTGTGATCTTCTCCTCCAACCTCCCGTATCCCAGGTTCCATGAATGGCACTAATGTGCGGCCTGGTGAACAGGCCTTTAGCAAGTCCTGGCACTTTCATCTCCCTAATTTTTCTTTTCCCTGATCCACCACCTTTGAAAGTGATGATGACATTAGCAAACATTTGCTAGATGCTTACTGTGTGCCAGGCTCTGTGCTAAGTGTTTTATATTCATTAATTTATTTAATTCACCCTACAATCTTATGAGTTAGGCTTTAATTCCTATTTTGCAGATGAATAGACCAAGGCAGAGAAATGTTAAGCGCATTGCCCTGGTTCACAACTAATACATGAAAGGGCTGTGGACTGGATCTAGTCTAATTTTTACTGAGTGAACATAAATTGGTCTTAATTTTACATTTCTCTAATTGCTAATGATTATTATCTAATTACACTGAGGTCTTAATTTTACATTTCTCTAATTGCTAATGATTATTTATCTAATTACTAGTTATTAATGTAGTAGTTGCCTAATTACTAATGATGCTGAACACCTTTTCATCCATTTATTCACTTGAGCTTCCACTTCTGTGGAACGCCTGTTTAATGGTTTCTTTCTGCAGTTTTTTGTTGGATTGTTTGTCCCTTTGAAATAGATTTGTGGAGTTTTTTTTTTTTTTTTTTTGTATTTTGTATACTGATCTTTCTGTATGCTGATATATACCGTAAAAATCTTATCCTGGTTTGTATCCAGGTGGGCCATGAGGTGATCTGGCGAGAGTATGTTTCCTCAAAAGGCATCAGCTACTACTTAGCTTGGGCCAGTTGTTGCCATGGAAATGTGGACCCAGTGTGACTAGGTCTTCCAACTAAAAAGAAAATATTATGCAAAATCCCTCAGTTTGTAAATGCTGTCCAGATGTTCACTTTAGTGTGAAATGAACAAATGGCTCAAGACAGAGCCCTGAGGAACCCTCACACAAGTTCCTCCTTCTGGAAGTGCCACGGACATGAGCATTTCTAGAAGGAGGAAAGCCGTACCCATGTCAAACGCAGCTGGGAACCAACACTTGAAGTTGCTAGATTTCTTTTATTCCCGAGGACTAGTAGAGTTTTAATTTGAATGATTCTAATACTTTTCTAAGGATACAGTTTAAACACTTGCTCTCTCTGGATTCAAGCTCCAAGACCAATACAATATGTCTTTCTCCCAAATTGGCCACCATTTGCTTTTCTTCACGAACAGGATTCCAGAGCCTGGATAGAAGATTCAAGAAAATATATTAGAAATGTCTGCTCCTTAAGCTGGCCTTTGTCCTGCCTTTGACAGCATTGGTTTCATGTTGTGGTTGTTGGGAACAGCTTCTACTGTACAAACACATCACAACCACACTTGTGGGGCATTAGACCAGTGGATGGCATTTTTGGGAATTAATTTACCTAGTGCTCCCGCTAGAAAAAAAATTCTGGGGATTTGTGCACTCAGTCCTCAAGGGGCCGGGATGGCAATGATCTTTCCTTTGTGGGCGATACCATCATAGGAACCGTGCTAAGCAACTGATTTGCTATTTTCTGTTTGCTAGTTAAGTGTATATGGAAACTCCAGTTGGCACTTTGATGAAGTACGAAACCAATGCTATTTTCATCAGTTTACGAAAGAGCAACCTGATTTAAATTTCCGTAATCCTGATGTTCAAGAAGAAATAAAAGTGAGTATAGACACCCACACAAACTTCTCTGTTACATGGGTGCTTCAATGGTTATTCGATATACTTCATGTTAAAAAACAGTAACTATGTGGGCAAAATCAAGCAGTGCAATTCAGTTCTGGGATTAAGGTGTCTGAAGCAAATACAGACTCTTAGATAAGTCAGTGGCTCCTTCCTTCCTCTAACCCAAATAATCGAAGTGGGAGGGAGGCAGAAACGCCTGTTGCCTTAGCTCTGAGGTGCTCATCTGCCTGTGACAATGAGCTGGTGCGGTGAGGCGGGGCCAGAACGGGGGCTCGGGGGTCCAGCTCCTGTGTCCGGACCCAGCCCACCACTGGCTGCAGGGGGCTTCTGGGCCAGTTGTTTGGCTTTTGTGTGTCTTGGATCCCTCATCCATGAAACAGGATTGATTACAGTCTTTGTCTCAGAGAACTTTTATGAACATTAGATGAGATAACCCATGCAAAACACTTCTGTATTCACTCAGTAAATATCAACTTATTGTCTGCTCCATGCCAGGTCCTGTTCTAAGCAATGGGAATGCAGCAGGGCATCACAGCCCTGCCCTCAAGGAATTCCCAGTATCCTGAGGGGAAGGCAGACAATTAACAACTAAATATATAACATGTCAGGTGGTGATGAAGGCTTAGGGTGAAGAGCCTCGGAGTGCCAGGGAGAAGTTGGCTCAGAGACACCACTATATTGAGGTCCCATTTGCACAAAAACCTGACATTTGAAAGGGAGTCATGTGAACATCTGGGGGAAGAGAATTTCAGGCAGAGAGAAGAGCAAATGCAAAATTCTTTGGGGGAGACTGAGCTCCACATGTTTTAGAAACGGCCTGGGGGCCGGTGTGCAGGGCTGCCAGATAAAGCAAGTAAAATTACAGGACACTCAGTTAAATTTTAATTTCAGTTAAACAGAGAAGTACAATATTTGAGACATTCTTCTACTAAAAAATTATTCACTGTTTATCTGAAACGAAGGCTTAACTGGTTGTTCTGTATTTTATCTGGCAACCCCACCAATGCACTGCAGTGAAATGAGGGAGAGAGTAAGGGAGCTGGGGTGCAAAAGCGAGGGTGGGAGCTGATGCCGCGGGGCAGTGGTTGCTGCTGTAAGGGACGCGTGCTGAGTTAGAGACAGGACGGGAGAGCTCCCTCAGCGCCCCAGGTGAGAGCTGATGGGGCTCACACCTGTGTGGTGGCAGTTCCAGCAGCACGTGGCACATAATTCACTATAAACGTTAGCCATATTGTTGTTTCCATTATTGCTGCTGCTTCAGCTCTGATGGGCAAGAATTTAGGTTAGTGGGGTAGTGCTCTGAGGTAGGTCAGGAGGAGACCCAAACAGAATGGTACAGGTAGCCGTGGGTCCCTTTCTACAGTTCACCACATCAGCCAAATAGAGAGGATGCAGGCTGCCAAGTTGGAGTCACTGACAACACCTGCACCCCTTAGTCTGTTCTTGTTTTGTTTTTAAATAACAGCTTTATTGAGGTAGAATTCACATACCATAAAATTCACACCTTTCAAGTATATAAGTCAGGGGTTTTAGTACATTCACAGAGTAATGCAAGTGTCACTACTGATTGCAGAACATTTTCCTCACCTCCAAAAGAAACCCCATACCCACTCGAAGTCACTCCCATGGTCCCCTCATTTTCTCCCCCTGGGCCCTGGCAACCACTAAGCTACTTTCTGCCTCAATGGGTATGCCTGTTCTGGACATTTCATATAAATGGAATCATACAGTACCTATCTAAATGTCTATGATTTGTATCTATATTTATAATTTGTATTTAACTATTTGAGAAACTGTTTTCCAAAGCAGCTGGACCATTTTACATTTTTACTAGCAGTATATGAAGTTTCCAATTTCTCTGCATCCTCACCAACGCTTGTTATTGTCTGTATCTTTGATTACAGTCATCCCGGTAGGTGTGAAGTGGTATTTCACTGTGGTTTGGATTTGCGTTTCCCTGATGGCTAATGACGTTGAACATCTTTTCATGTGATTATAGTTTGTTTGTATATTTTCTTTGGAGAAATGTCTATTCACATCCTTTGTCCATTTAAAATTGTGTTATTTGTCTTTTTTGTCAAGTTGTAAGAGTTCTTTATGTATTCTGGATATGTGATTTGCAGTTAATTTTCTTCCTTTCTGTAGGTTGTCTTTTTACTTTCTCAATGGTACCCTTTGAAGCACAAGGGTTTTTAAGTGTTAGGATGTCCAACTTACGTTTTTTTCTTTTCTTGCTTATGCTTTTAGTGTCACATTTAAGAACCATTGCCTAACCCAAGGTCATGAAGATTTAACTCATGTTTTCCTTAGAAGAGTTTTGTAGTTTTAGCTTTTACACTTAGGTCTCTGGTCCAGTTTTCGTTCATTTTTGTATATGGTGATAGGGAGTCTAACTTCATTCTTTTCCATGTAGCTATCCAGTTATCCCGGCAGCATGTGTTTACAAAAGATTATTCTCTCATCATCGAACTATCTCAGAACCCTTTTGAAAATCAATTGATCATAAATGTCGGGGTTTATTTCTACATTGTCAGTTCTGTTCCATCAATCTATGTGTCTGTCCTTATGCCAGTACTGTCTGGATTACTATAGTTGTATAGTAAGTTTTGAAATTGGGAAGTGTGAACTCTACAACTTTGTTCTTCGTTTTAAGACTGTTTGGCTATTCTGGGTTCTTTGCATTTCCCTATGAATTTTATTATTTGTTTGTCAATTTCTGCAAATAAGCCTGCTGGGATTGTATTGAATCTATGGATCAGTTTGGGGGAGTATTGCCATCTTAACAATATTAAGTCTTCTGATCCGCGGACTCAGGATGTCTTTCCACTTACTTAAGGTCTCCTTTAATTTCTTTCAACAATGTTTTCAGTGTACGAGTCCTGCACTTCCTTTGTTAAATATATTCCTATAGACTCCTTAGTTCTAAGACTATATATGTTTTCCAGAATTTAGATGAATTGCTTTGCGACCTCAAGGAGTAGGCACCTTGTCAAGGCAGCCTTGTCTCAGTTGGGAGAGGGGAGGTAGACATGGTCAGCCAGCTAACTAGGGGTTAGGTTTTTTTTTTTTTTTTTTTTTTTTTTGCGGTACGTGGGCCTCTCTCACTGTTGTGGCCCCTCCCGCCGCGGAGCGCAGGATCCGGACGCGCAGGCTCAGCGGCCATGACTCACGGGCCCAGCCACTCCGCGGCATGTGGGATCCTCCCGGACCGGGGCACGAACCCGTGTCCCCTGCATCGGCAGGCGGACTCTCAACCACTGCGCCACCAGGGAAGGCCCAGGGGGTTAGTTTGAAACTTCTCTGTTGGAGTGTGGACTCTCCTCTTCTCCATCACTGAAGATCATCTGCATACTCACACCCCCTCTTTGGGCCCCTACCACTCTTACTAGGCACTTACTTTGTGCTTTACCTGGATCATCTCATTTAATGCTCAGAAGAAGCCTAACTTAAGAGATTTTATGACCATTTTACCGAGAAGGAAACTGAGGCTTAGAGAGGTGACATCACCCACCTTGGGAGTGAGGGGACAGGATTCAAACCCAAGCACTGAGATTCTGGAGTCCACATTCTTAGCCACAACTCCACACCTGATTTGAGGCAAACTACTTCTCTCTGTGTGTTTCACTTTTCCTGCATAGTTTTTTAAAAATTAATTAATTAATTAATTTTTGGCTGTGTTGGGTCTTCACTCCTGCACGCAGGCTTTCTCTAGTTGCGGCGAGCGGGGGCTACTCTTTGTTGCGGTGTGCGGGCTTCACATTGCGGTGGCTTCTCTTGTTGCGGAGCACAGCTCTAGGTGCAGGGGCTTCAGTAGTTGTGGCTCGCTGGCTCTAGAGCACAGGCTCAGTAGTTGTGGCTCACGGGCTTTGTTGCTCCGCGGCATGTGGGATCTTCCCCGACCAGGGCTCGAACCCGTGTCCCCTGCATTGGCAGGCGGATTCTTAACCAGTGCGCCGCCAGGGAACTCCTCTGCGTAGTTTTTGCGAGGAGGTTTTCAATTGGAAATTCATAAATGGGAATGTAAACCGGTTGTTCTATCTGGCAGCGGATTTCTCCAGGCTCGTTGTAATGATGTTGGTGGCTTGTCTGGAGATGTGTAGACAAGTGTGATAAATTCTGCCAAAATGTGCCAGCAATACATAAATCCTTTCTTGGCTAACCCAGCTGTTCTCTTGCAGGCATCCAGGTAGTGGAGCACGTGAATAGGAGTCTTATTTACTGGACCTGCAGGATGAAATCCCTCTTGAGATGAATCATTTTTGCCTCTGGTTGAGAGGTTAGACATTTTTGTAAGGCTGGTTTGGAAGACTTCTTATTAGAAGTAAATGAGAAAGGCTGAAAGCTGTTAGGGAAAGTTCTTTGCTCATGGAAAGGGACCTTTCACATGAAGGGGCTTTCGACACCCTCCTTCCCCCCAGCAGCACTTATCTCTGCAGCAGAGTTAAGCAGGTTAATAATTTGCAACGCTGAGAGTCTGTGGTGGGGAGGCATTTGGAATGAGCCCTGCTTGCAGACCAGCTTGTACTCAGAGTCTGAGCCTTCTTCTGCTGGGCTCCCATCCGATTTCAGCTTATCTGCACAGTGGGAGGCTGGCAGGGCAGCACGGAGCACCCTTCTCTCCTCTTAGTCCTCCCCCCTCCCCCTGCCTTGCACTGGCCGTTTGGGACTTGGCTCTGCTCCGAACCTCTCAGGGCTAGAGCATTTTCAGCTGGAGAAGTCAGGAGGTTTCCTCAGAGGAGGTGGGAGCTTATATTTGTCTAGCTTTTTTTTTTTTTTTTTTTGTGGTACGAGGGCCTCTCATTGTTGTGGCCTCTCCCGTTGCGAGACTCTGGACGCACAGGCTCAGCGGCCATGGCTCACGGGCCCAGCCGCTCCGTGGCATGTGGGATCTTCCCGGACCGGGACATGAACCCGTGTCCCCTGCATTGGCAGGTGGACTCTCAACCACTGTGCCACCAGGGAAGCCCCTGTCTAGC